ACTGTAGTAAACAGTTAAATGTCTATAAAATAAATAATACCTCACTGACATAATTGATATGCCATACAATTTACCTATTTAAAGTGTATAATTGTGTGGCTTTGAGTACATGTAGTAGAGTATCATAACTATCAGAGTTAGAACATTTTATTGCCCCAAAAGGAAATCCTCATTGGGTCTCTCATCCCATTAGGTGAGTCACTTCTAGTAAACTCTGCTTGCTTTCTCTATGGATTTGCCTATTTTGGATGTTTCATTTAAAGGAAATCATACAGTATATGATCTTTTCAGACTGATTTCTCTCAATTAGTATAATGTTTTCAAGGTTCAACTGTCTTGTATTTGTGTCAATATTTCATTTACTTTTTTGTTATGTAACATTTTAGCACTGTCACATCTTTACCAAAAGTGGTTATTAATCTGTCTTTGATTATAATCATCCTAGTGGGTGTGAAATTATTTTTCATTATGGTTTTGGTTTTCATTTTCTTGTAGTTGATGATGTTGAGTATCTTCATGTGCATATTGGCTACCTATATATTTTTGAGAAAATGTGTGTTCAGATCTCTTGTCTAGTTTGAGTACTGGTTTGTGTAACTTTTGTTAAGTTTTAACAGTTCCTCATATATTCTGGCTATAAGCCCCTTGTCAGATGTAAGATTGGCAAGTATTTTCTTCATTCTGTGCATTGTCTTCTCTTGCTTGTGCTTCTGATTTTATATATAAAAAATCATCACCTAATCAAAAACTCCTATGTTCTATAGTTTTAGCTCTTAGATTCACTTTGAGTTCATTTTTGTAAAGGATGTGAAGGAAGGATCGAGATCATTTTTGCATGTAGATGCTTAGCTGTGTTAGCACGATTTTGTTAAAATAGTGTTTGTTTAAAAGAAGTACTGTTCTTTTCACCATTAAATTGCTTTAGCATCTTTGTCAAAAGTCAATCTGTCCCTGGATATGGTGGCACATGCTTGTAATCCCAGCACTCAGGAAACTGAGGCAGGAAGATCTCCAAGAGTTTGAGGCTAGCCTGTTCTACATAGTGACTTTAGGGCCAGCCTGAGCTACAAAGTGAGATCCTGTTTAAAAAAAAAAAAAAAAAAAAAAAAAAAGAAAAAAGAAACCAACAACAACAACAACAAAAAGAAAATGTTAGACAATGCCCAGTATGGTAACCACTGACCAAATGCAGCTTTTGAGCAGTTGAAATGTGACCTAGCATGACTGAGAAATTAAATGTTTAATTGTATTGTATTTCAATTAGTTTAAATAGCCCCATAAAAATGGCTGGTGGCTATGATTTAGACAGTGTAGCTCCTCAGTGCTTGGACTGGATATCAGGAATTAAGATTTCTGAGCTCTAACTTCAAAATTTTGCTCCATTGATCTCTGTTTACCATTATGTCAGTATCACACAATTTTAATTAATGTAGCTCTTTAGGGTTTGAAATTGGGAAGTATGAGTCCTTTAACTTTGCTCTCTTTTTTTCAATATTGTTTTTGTCTTTTTAAGTCCGTTGATTTACCATATAAATTTTAAGATCAGCAGATTTATTTCTCCTAATAAGTTAGCTTGGATTTTGATGGACAGTAAATTAAATGTGCAGAGCATTTAGGGAAATGTGACACCTTAAAAATATTATCTTCTGTGTCTGGGAGTATAGCTTAGTAGTAGAACATGTGCTCAACATATACAAGGTCCTAAAGAAAAGAAAATTTTCTGATACAAAATCTTTCCATCTGTTTAGGTCATCTTTAATTTCTTTAACAGTTGTAGCTTTCAGATAGCTTTTGTCTTTTGTCTATGCTTTTTTTTTTTTTTTTTTTTTTTTTTTTTTTTTTTTTTTTTTTTTGGTTACATTTATTGTTGGGAACTTAAATTTTTGTATCCGATGTTGTAAATACAAGTTTTCTAAATTTCATTTTTGTTTTTTGTTACTATGTAGGAATATAGTTCATTTTGATATGTCAGTATATCCTCTAAACTTACTGAATTTATTTATTAGTTTTAATTTTTTTTTAGTACTGGTATATCCTTTAGATTTTCTATATATTGTACAAGATATATCATCTGGTAATTTTTCTTCTCTTCCATTCTGGGTACTTTTTATTGTAATTCCTGCTTAATTGCCTTGGTTAGCGTCTCCAGTAAAATGGTAAATAGTGATGACAAGAGTCATCCTTGTTTTGTTGCTGATCTTCAGGGAAGGCAGACTTCTTATAATGATATCAACTGTGGGATTTTTGTGGATGCCATATATCAAGTCACAAAAGTCCTACCTCAATTTTGTAGAGTGTTTTTGTCATGAAGAGGTTGGATTTTTGTCAAATGCTTTTCAGTAGGTATTGAAGTGCTCATGCAGTTTTTGTCCTTTTTTCTACTGATATTTTTGTATATTGCCTGGTTTGATTGTTTTGAAGATTTTCTTACACATAGTTTTAAGAGATTTTTTTCTTGTGAAGTTTTGCCTGGTTTGGTATTAGGGTAGTTCTAGTCTTATCCTCAGGAAGTATTTCCTCATTTTCTGTTTTTTTGGAAGAGTTTGTGAAAGATTAACATTAATTGTTCTTTTAAATGTTTAAGAGAATTTTTCAGTAAAACTAACATTGGACTTATTTTCCTTCTAGAATTCTTAATATTACTAATTCAGTCTTGTATCTTATCGTAGGTGTACCTCAGATTATTTTTTGTCAGTTCTGCTAAATTGTTTTTAGGTATTTGTTTTGTCTGTGCTATCTAATTTGTTGGTCTATAGTTTATAATATTTTTTTTTGTTAGTCTAAAGTTTAGTAATGTTTTTGGTATTTTCAAAGAAACAACTTTTAGTGTTACTGATTTTTTCTATTCTATTCTAAATTATCTTTAAAAGATATAAGAAATATGAAAAATTATCTTTCATACTTACTGACATATTCCTCGTTTTCAGTGTACTTCATTTCCTTTAATCTAACTTTTCCTGTGTTGTGCCTACATAAAGAAAATACAAATAATTATATTTAACTCCTATTATTAATATTGTTTATTATTGCATTTAATTTATGACTGTTGGCAATGATTTTTCTTAGCTATGGTTATTGGGAAAAAGTATCTTGTGTATAATTTTGGATTGTTAGTATTTATTTTAATTCTTTAAAAATATTGCTTCAATGGATTCTGTCACGAATAGTTTATGATGAAAAATATGTTTTGACTCTTGTTATCTTTGTTCCTTTTTAATCTAGCACCCCACCCCACCTCCACTCATCCAAGATTTTTCTTTCTTTGATATTCAGAAGTTGTAAAGTATACAGGGTTTCCTTGCCTGCTTGGGATGCATTAAGCTTGTTGTATCTGTGATTGTCATCCTTATAGGACTTTTAGAAGATTGTTAAATACTTTTTCTAGCCCATACTTCTCAACTGAGACTCCAGGGACATTTTTATTTTATTTTTGAGACAGAATCTCACTATGTATCCATGCTAGCCTTGAACTCACTCTGTAGCCCATGCTGATCTGGAACTCACGATGATCCTCCTGCATCAGCCTCCCAAGTACTAGAATTACAGACATGTGCCACCATAAGTGGGTCTATCTTTAGTTTATTTTATCCCCTGTGACAAATTTTGATCTTCTGATTTTGTTTCTGCTCCTTTTCATCTTCATCTTCATGTTTTACTTTGTATGATTTCTTTTAACTTAAGTTGAAAGTAAACTGATTCTATGTCCAGTCTGCTCAGAAGCCCACGTATGTTTTTAATTTTTAAAAGTTAGCATTTTCATTTGATTCTTTTCTATAATCTCTTTCTATGTGGAAATTCATTTTCTCATGAATGTGCTCCAGCTTTATACCACATCCTTTAACATATTAATCACTTTTGTTTTAAAGTCCTTCTTCAGTTGTTCCAATATCTGGAGCATTGTTGCTTTTGATGGTGTTGACCAAGTTAGTTACCCTACCCCCCTCTTGATCTGTTATGTATTTTATATTTATATATTGAGTGCTGCATACGGTGTTTAAAGAAGTAATTAACTAAGGTTAAGAGTGACTATGTCCAGAAATGGACATCACTATTTCCCTATCTGGTCAATAGTTGAGCTGGGTCTAAATTGGGTTTTGAGTTTTATTGTTGTTAGTTAATTTTAGTAAGCCATGGACTTATTTTTCTTCTGGTTCCTATAATTTTATGCTTAGTGTGGGATTTGGAGTTTTCTCAGGACTCATGCTCCACTCTCATCTTTGAGAAACACCTAAACCACACAGAATCTTTCTGTGTGTGTCCTTGCGAATAGGTTTCTATTGCCTTGTACTTTATTCAAGGCCTGGTGAGGGTGTGCTATTAGGTTCTCCCTGTTACTGCCTTAGACTTAGGCAGACCTTGTACCCCTGAATATCAGGGTAGGGTTTTTTGTTTTGTTTTGTTTTTTTCAATAAAGAATAGAAGTTTATTTAGATCATGGTTCTAGGCTGGGAAGTCCAGTATCAAGGTGTTGACATGATAGAGGGCAGCACATAGTGAGACAAAACAGGTATCTCAGGATGGCTATTAAGCTTCCTGTATCTCCCCTCTCCCCCACCAATTCCCCTTCCATAGGCTGGTCAAGAGGGAGAAGAAGGACTCTTAATAATAGCAGGCATTTGCTTTGCATCAGTGTAAGATCTTGTACCCAAGCAGTTTTCAGACAACCACCACCACCGTGCCCCAGCAGGTTTTTCCTCCTCCTCTCTTGGTGGCAATTTACCTTCACTGGTGACCAGGGAGTGGGAAGACTCCTACCTCTTGTCCAGCAGCAGATGGCTTTTATTTTTACCCCTCTCTGTAGCAGCTGGGCTTTTTCTTGTGCAGGGAGTGGGAAGGTTTTCTTTTTAGACGTCTTTGATGCCTCTGTACATATTGTATTTAAATGGTGTCCTTCTAAAAGGTAATTCCTGATGAATAGAGTTTGAACCTTAGATTTTTAGAGAAGGATGCCCACAGTTTGATTTTTATTATAATATGCTGATGTGCTTGTTCTTTTCCAGCTTGGGCTTGATCTCCGACTCTTTTCACATGTTTTTCGATAGCACTGCCATTTTGGCTGGATTGGCAGCCTCTGTTATTTCAAAATGGAGAGATAATGATGCATTCTCCTATGGGTAAGACCTTTTAAAAATCATTTTCTTGAGGCATGGAATATGCAGAAAATACACAAATCTTAAGGTCAGTGAGTTTTTACAAATTGAACGCGTTTGTGTAACTTAAAGCCATGAAACCCCTCCTCATACTTCTGGTTCTTTCCTACTAACCTGAGGATAACCATTTTCTTAACTTCAGGGATTTGTTTTGCCAGTTTTTAAACCCTGTATAATTGGAATTGACAATATGTAACTTTTATTACCCTCTTGGCTTAGTGAATGGGCAGTTGGTTTCACTAAAACGTTTTAGGTAGTTTCATTTCAATGTAGGACCATTTCTTACAACTTACATTTTTGAAGAAGAAGAAAAAATGTCAGTGAATAGAAATGGTGGCAGTTCTTATTTTCCTTATTGAAAGTGTGCTTTGCTATTAATTTATCTAAAAATCATTTCATAGTATGGTTTATATTACTTCCTTTTTCAGCTCCACTGATTTGGACAGTTAACTGAATATTTGCAGATTATTTTTATGCTAGGGGCCATTTTGGATCATCTTAAGAGACAGTTGACTTTCTGCTACCTCTGATTGGGGAAGCACTAAATTTTCCATTATTTGATTTATGCTTTTTTGTTTGCTTTTTCGAGCTCAGAATATTTTGTAGCATAACTATATGCAAGCAGAACTCAACACTCACATCTTTTTTCTTTGCCTGTCCCTTTCTCTTTCCTACTTATGGTTGATTCTTCCCCTTTATTTTTAAATTTCTTATCCTGGGCTCTTTGTGTGTGTGTGTGTGTGCGTGTGTGTGTGTGTTTTGTGCTGTGACAGCAATGGCAAACTACTAGTGTGAGCACACAAAAACAGCGTTAAGTAGGCTAAGCCTAAGTATGAACCCTTGTAAGCTCCATTTCAAGGTGATCATAATAGCAGACTGACTCCACAATAGAAGAAACAGGAGGATATGAGAGCAAGCAAGACTATTCAGTATTTGTTTATAGAAAATCATCTTTGTATCTTGTACTTATTTTTTAAATAGAAAAGCCAGTATGAAAATAGTGTATATTCAATAGACAGATGTATTTATATACGTATAAGCATGCATGTATACTGTGTGCATATTAATTGTACCCTTTTTCTTTCTTTTGCCCTAGTTGAAGAAATCAGACACCAGACATGCTTAATTAGGTAGTAGCACTTTCCTGAATTACATGGTCTAATTTCAAGACTTACTCTAAGTAAACAGAATCATTTGTAAAGGCAAGCATATCCACCTTTTATAAGTTTTTCCTTTAAAACTTATGACTAAGGTACCTTGGTACTTGCTGTTAATTAGTTCTAGGAGGTGTGATGAGCACCTCAAACAGATGACTATGGCTAGAAAGGGTAGTGGTCATGAGGAAATCCACCCAGATGAGCTCTAGCTTGAGTATCAAGTACCAAACAAACATCTAGTAGTGGGACAAAATATTCCCATCAAAATGTGTGGAGTACCAAATCGGACAAATTTCAGTACCAACGTATGACTGTGCAACAAAGTATAATAAAACTAATTAAATTACTTGAGTTCAACAGTGTACAGAATTTATGGAGCATACTTAGTAAGCTAGGAATTTGAGATAAAAAGATACCTGAAAAACATTCTTGCCTTTGATCTTGAAATCTTTAGTGGAACACAGTAAAAAAGGTTTTCAATCAAGCAATAACTATTGGTCTAAAAAGGTAGTTTTAAAAACTACCTTTTTATTTTTGGACAGCAACCCTGGTGACTGACTAGATAAATTTCTAACTAGGTTATGGTAAGCTGACTCAAATTATTTTAATTTAATGTTTTTACTCAAAAAAATACATGGTTTGACAAATACTATATTAATATAATTTACTTATATTTGATAGAAGATAAAATATGCATTATTTCTGAGTATAGAAATACATGCTGTGTTAGAATGTACTCTATAGGACGAGCTCCCACATAAAATACCTTTCAAGAATTTCTTTCTCAAAAAATATATTTATAGTAAAATTTGTATTATTTAGAAGTTAACACAGAAAATAAGTAAAGCAGTTTTGATGCTGTCATTATATTGTCTGAGGACCAGAGAGATTAAGTTGTATTAGCACACTTTGAATAAAGTTTGAACATAGGAAAATGCTGAGTTAAAGTTTTTTTTTTGAATTTAAGCCAGGTATACTTTGTGGAAAAATAAAATCTTTTCCCAGTGCTTCACACAGGTAGGAAGTAGAAAGCTTCAGGTATCCTTGGAGAAAAAAAGACAGGTATTTTAAAACAAAAAGTATAATTAGAATTATGTGTCTCTAAAATTTATTCTAAAATAGGTACTTGAAAGCTTACATTGAATTTATTAATCTTAAAAAAAGAACAATAAAAATATAAATCTGAAGTTATCTCTGATATAATTCAGGAAAATTTTCATTTTGCGTAATATCAAAGCTTCTCTTCCCAAAGATCTGAAATGTACAAGGAAAAATGTACAAGAAGTTCTTTGAAAAGGAAGGATAAGTAAATTCTTAACACCCCAGTTTCCAGGCCTTTCTTCTGCTTTTTATCTTTGGATCCTTGCTTTGCTTACTTTGTCTGGTCCTGTTCTTCCTTCTCCAGTAGGAACTTGAGATTTAAATTTCTGTGAAAGGTCTTTATAAAACTACGAGCTCGTTTAATTGGCCTGCAAAAACCTGTGTTTTGTGGCGTTCTGCTATTAAAGGTAATTCTTAATAAATTGATTTCCTCAATCATTTCTATAACATATAAAATAAAATGTACTGTATTTATAATAGGATTACGACTTTGCTGGTACATAGAAGCGTATATGGTTTAGAATATCTGAAGTAAATTTACAATTTGATTTTTAAAGAAATGACACAATTGCTTGGTGTGCTTCTCTTTAGGTATGTTAGAGCAGAAGTTCTGGCTGGCTTTGTCAATGGACTATTTTTGATCTTCACTGCTTTTTTTATTTTCTCAGAAGGAGTTGAGGTATAGTAATAATAATTAGAATCAGTAAATTATATTACTGTAATGAAAATGTTTATTAACTAAAGATATGTAATAGACCTGTTTTCAGTTATCATTATTTAGTGAGGTCAGTCTTGGGTTAGACAAAGTATTTTGCATGTAACAGAAGCTTACAAAATAGTTGAAAAAATTAAATGATAGACTTGAAATTGAAAAAGTGAAAAAGCTATGATTAAACTATTGACACTGAAATCTAAATGCACAATCTAGGTAGTGAGGTCAACTGGAAAGTGTTATGAGAGTTTTGCTAGTAAGTCTTTAATATGTGCTAATTAAAAAAATGTGTATAAAGACTGGTGAATGTATGAAGGACAGTATTGTAAGATACCAAATCAGAACAAGTTTGGAACCAAATATTCACTTAGAAATATTTACATTCACTTACAAATAGTACTTGTTACTTTTTCTGCAGTATGTGATCTCAATGTTTATTGCTTTAAACTTTTGGCAATTTTTTTGCATATATTTTTTGAGTGCTTTTAATTCTGAAAATTACTTTGATTTTTAATATTGCCGTGTATTTGTACCATTCAGTAAGAAATTATATCTGTGCTGTTTGTTTGTATTGTGTGTTTTCTAGAGAGCATTAGCCCCACCAGATGTACATCATGAGAGACTGCTGCTTGTTTCAATTCTTGGATTTGTGGTAAACCTAATAGGAATATTTGTTTTCAAGCATGGAGGTCATGGACATTCTCATGGCTCTGGTATGATGGTTAGAACCCTTTGTTTCTTCATTTTCCACTGGTTTCTATCATAATTATTATTTTAGAATACTGATAACTTTAAAGTTAAACTATATGTCAACTTTAATAACAAAAGTAATATATCAAAAGACTCTTATTAATGTCTTCCTGAACTGTCCCTCTTGCACTGCTCCGTGCCTGTCCTCTCCACCCTGGTGCTTTCTCAGATTTGTGCATGTTATCAGTTTGGTGTGGATCCCTCCAGACTTTTGTAGCTCATTTCTTTCATTTAATACCATTCATATAAAACAAGGAAATACCAGAAAACTGTAAAAAAATTTGGGTGTATATGTGAGAAATTTACTGAATAACCTATTTTTGAGGTCTTTCCATTTAGTGTATATCAGTCTCTACCTTGTCTTATTATACAGCTACTCCATGGTATAAGTCACCATTATTTAATCAGTATTCAATGGGTGGACCTCAAGTCATTTACATTTTACACTAATCCATATACAGCCTGTTCTTGTGAACAGAAGCCAAATGTTTTTCCAGAGCTGTGCTGGCCTCTGTTGTAACTATTATCCACATTTAAATAAAAATTTAAATTTACACTTTTGTTAATTAAAATTAGAAATTCACCTTTTCAATTGTGTTAGTGACATTTCAAGTCCCCCGTAGCCACATGAGGCTACCTACCATATTGGACAGTGTAGCTGTCCAACTTTTATATCATTATAGAAATTTCTTTACATTCACTGTGCTAGAGTAAAAGTGGATTGCTGAAACACAGAATATATATATTTTCACTTGCAATAGATATTTGCAAATTGCTTTGCAAAGTAACTGTCATTTACATTTACTCCCAGGAATACATACAAGAAAGAATTTCTCCCCATCCTTGTCATCACTTAATATTGTGAAATTTGATAAAATCACCTAATATTGTAAATTTTGATAAAAATGGCTTTTCATTTTATGCCACCATCTTGGTGTAACAACATATACCTTTGTGGTATATTTCTAGACTACTGAGGCTTTTCCTCTTCTAGAATTAACTTCATATTTCTTGAGTATTTTTCTTTTCAAGCCACTTACACGTAATTCTACAGTAGTTCTACTACTCTAAACGTATGTATTTTCTGCTTTGTTTAAGAGTTTTCTATTCTAGGGACATAACCATAGTCTCTTATACCACATCTTAATGCATTCCATTAGTTCACTGTTTTTTTCTAATCATTTTGTTCCTTCACCAAGTTACAATTTATATTTAACAATGGTTGATTTGGGGCTTAAGTTGGGTTGTTTGTTTTTTTTTCCCCCTCTCTTTGGTATGAATAAGCAATTTTACCATCACCATTTGTTTGTTGGCCATTATTTTCTTAAGAAAACCTTAAAAATTTCCCTGAGGATGAAAAGTATCATCAACCTCAAACAATCTAGTTCACATGAATTGTAAATTAATTCAAGAATTAAAAAAGCTTTGCCTCAGTGTGCTTATGTTCTCTTCTCCATCCTTTGTATTACTGTCAAAATACATATTTCTTTAAGTCTGTCAACACGGTTTGTAATTACTGGCTTATATAGCTGTATTTTAAAACAGAAACATTACAAATAAAAATGTGTATGCTGTCCTTCATAATACTTTTCCAGTTAATCTTTGTGGTTACAGATCTATGCCTTATTTTTCTTTGTATGTCCTGACCTAATATTTAGTGTCCTTTCACCCTTGAAAACTATAATATATGTTTGGCGGAGGGGGGCCTTTTGTTCAACTTAAAATGTCTTAATTTCTATTTAATGAGAGATAAGTAGAATATACAATTCTTTTTATTGAACTCAGGTCCTTGCGTTTGCAAGGCAGGCCACCAAACTGCTGAGCTAAATCCCAGGCCCTAGAATATACAATTCTTGTTTGAGTCTTTATCTCCCCTGTGATATCCTGCACAGTCTTTAGGCTTCAGTGGCTTCTTTTGAGAAGGCAAGTTGATCTTGAAGTACCACATATAAACTAATTTTTCTTGTGCAACTTTCAAGATTTTCTCTTTCTGTTTGATTTTTATCAGTTTGACTGCATCTCTAGATAACTTCTTCATTGAGTTTATTCTATTTGAAGTCTAATGATTTTTGTGAATACATTTTCATCTAATTGGAGTACTTTGAAGCTTGCCTGCTGAGGCCAAAATTTGGGTCTCCTCAGAAATATTTTCAGCAAGCTTCCTCACTACCTTTTCTTTGGTACTTTGGATTAAACTCAGGACTTTGCACTTAAGAGGCCGGCGGTGGAAACACTGAGCTAAATCCCTGGCCCCTAGCAAGCTGCCTTTTAAAAATATACCATATGGCATACAACATATTGTAACAACTCTGGTATCAGATTATGTTTGTCCTCTAAAGTTTGTTGTTCCTGGTACTTTTGTTATTATTGTGTTGTTTTTCTTACTGCAGGTCTTTTGTGAATTGATACAGTGGATTATGTGTTTACTGACATTTGTGGCTCTTGTGTTCTCTGCTGGTTGTTTTAAGATCTTATTTGTATTTTTAACCTGACTTCCTAAGGGTCACACTTGAACCCATATAATTTAATAGAAAGCCATTGATTGGTCAGAGTAGTTCCTTAAATGCCTTCCCTAAAATCTCCCACTTTTGTCAAAGAGATCTTTTTGAGAAAGTAGACTTTTAAACTTGAGGCAATTGCCGGGGATTTACCTCAGTGGTTTTGCCGCCTGCCTCACACGCGCAAGGATCTCAGTTTGATCCCCGGTACCAAAATAAGTAAATAAATAAATAATAAACTTAAGGCAATTTATGAGGCAGCTTAGGTTTTGCCTCCTGCTTATGTAGAGTCTTAAGGTCAGTGAGAGATGAACAATGATTTCTCCTGTTTCACGTCTTTCTTGGTCTTGTGCACAGTGTATATGCCACCTTTTGGATTCTAAGGAATATGTTAATAGTTTCCAGTGTTCCTTATAATTGTCTGATTCTCTGAGATTCCTTATAATAATTCACCCCAGCTTAAACTGCAGCCTTCAGCAGCTGAGGTATGGCTAGGAATTTGCCACTGTTTTTGTTATGCCCTATCCCAACCCTCATCCCCACCTCAAGCTGAGCTGAGCACTGAATCTAAGATTCACTTGGCTGACAAATTGTTTGAGGCAAAACAAGTCTGCAAAATATTGACTATCCACAAAATGATACTTTTAAAAAACACCAATAATGATCTGATCTTTCCGTCACTTGGAATCCTTCTGGCTTTTTGCTGCTTTGCTCATGGTCTGGAGAGGAAGATGGAATAGGATTCACTCCAAGTTAGACTGTCAAAGGCTCCTGTCTTATCAAGGGTTAGTAGTTCCTCTTAGGTAGATAGTTTTCACTTTATTCAGTAGTTTCGGTTAATTGCCCAAGTTCTGAAATGGTTTATAGTTGTTTTCCTGTATTTTTGTTGTTTTAGAGGAGAGGTAGTTTGTAGAAGTCTTCTCTATACCCTTCCAGAGGTTGATCTCCCAGTTTTCATATGATGCAAGGCTGGATTTGATTTTCTGGTATTTAAAATTTTTACAAGCATAGCTGATATTTTTAAATTGTTCACCATTCAGAATTTTCTTCTGTGCTTTTGAATAGCTAGTATGAGTTTCTTAATTTTTTCTTTTCTTGTACTGGGTATTTAACTCAGAAACTTGTGGTTGCAAAGCAGGCGGCAGCACCACTGAGCTGAATCTCTGGCCCTCTTACTGGTTTTTTATAGAATGTAGAAAGGATTCTTTATTCTTATATGTTTGTCTTTTTCTGCCTGCTTTCATGTAACTTCACTGACCCTTTTACTAAAGATAGTCCCCTACCTTTGCCTCACTGCAACTATATGCTTATATCTTGTTTTTTGTTTATTTGTATGCTTTTTTTGAGTCTATCATATGTATTAAATGTATGCTCATCTTTTTTTCATTTTTTATTGGTTGTACAGATTGATAAGTTTCATTTTGTCCTCTTTGAACATAAACATAACATACTTTGATCATTTTCACCCCTTGCCACCATCCTCCCTAGTTTCACATTCTTTTGGGGGGATTTCAATGTGTATATTTTACTCATATCTATCTCTCCAGGTTTATCTTTATTATCCCTATTTTAGAGATTAAAAACTAACATCAGAAAAAATTTACTTGTGGTAAACTGATAACAGCATTTAAACATAAGGGTTGGAAAATTGTATTGAGCAAAAAACATTCTCCCTTCAGCTGCAGTCAGTTTCCACCTGGTGAGAGAAAAGAGATGACAAAAATATGATTCATGAGATTGCCAAGCCTACCATGATGATGCCATAGAATTGCAAAAGTTTATTGTTGGTGGGTAGCAGCAGGAACAAAAAAAATGTTACTAAAAAGACACATTGCCATTACCCCCCCCACCCCCTGCGAGTGCAAAAATACTCCCCTTTACTTTAAACACATTTATCCAATTGTTTTTATCACTTTCTGAAGCAGTTCTGGAAGTCCTCTTTTGTGAGTGCCTTTATGATAAAAAATGTAGTGAATGCTGCTGTTGAGCGCCATCCAGTGGAAATGTTACTGGGTCTGGAGGTGCTGGAGTCTTCCTTCTGGAGGTGGTTTCTAGTTTCTTTCAGTCCTAAGCAAAAAATTGGTTGAGATGAGCATAAATGGTAGCAAAGTTTTATTAAAGGTAGGAAAAGAAACAGGCTCTGCAGAGCAAATTTGGGCGAAGTAAAAGTAGGAAAAGAAATATATTCTACAATTTGAGGATGGGACATCCATGCGAGAGAGAACAGTGGCAAACTCTGTCCTTTTTTATATATCAGCCAGTCCTCAGGCTGAAGTCAGCTCTAGGCCATGAGTAGTCCACATGCAGGGCTTTGGGCGCTGCTGTGTACATGTGTCCTGGGATTTCTAATTAACAGGACACACCTGCTTCTCCAGCCAGTTCTGCCACACCCTGGCCTCCCGTCTCATTTCTCCCTGAGAGACACATATCCCTATAATCTTTATCGGGTGCTGAGGGAGTGGAATTCTCTTGTCTTCCATAGCTTCTTCCAGCTGGAAGGGTTCTAGGCCTATTTACTGAGGAGTCTGTGTCTAACTACTTTGGAGTGTTGTGGCTCACTGGCTGGGTTGAAGAAAAAAAGTGTTAGAAGACAGAAAAGAGTGACTATCGGGCTATTTGATGGGAGAAACAAAGTAGCTTTACTATTATGTTGGGGATGTAGAACGCAAATATGAGGAGCTGGTCACAGTGCTTCTTGTGAGAGATAAAATATGGCAAAGAAGGAGGTAAGAGAAATTATCAGGAGCCCGAGAGCCATAGCCTCAGCAAGATTACCCATGTTATGGATCTAATTACAAATGGAAGCCTCGATAACAGGTGCCCAGTTAGGCTATGGTGAATTAGAGTCATTAGGGTCTCTTACTTATCTGCACCTGAAGCAGTACTGGTGTCTTGCTTTCTGAAGAGGAGCTTCAGGTCTCCCAGAGGTTATCAGGAATATCAGGATCTTGGAGAGGCAGATCACTGATGTCCTGCCGGCTTCATAGGTGTGAGAAATCATTTGTTCACAGGAGTGGCTAACTTCCGGGCATATGAGATCCAGCATTATGCAGGCTTCCCCATAGGAGATGGTAATATTGGTGGACAGGGCCATTGTAGGTTTCCTTGGGCCTCTTTAGAGCAGGAAATGGGGGTTTTGGCTGCCGTAGTCCCTCTCTGGGACGATGGACAGTCAGCCCTTCAGTGCCATGAGTCAGGTATATTGACTCCCTCACATTCAGAAGAAGGCCCAGGATGTGACTTGGTGCACACTCCTGTCCAATGTCCAGATTTCTTGCACTTAATCATCCTTGGATTTTCTTAGACAGTTTGGTTGAGTTTAAAGCATTGCCCATTGCAACAGCTCTAATTCTAGCTCTAATTCTCTTTTGACCTTTCTCCAGATCCAGGTTGCTGAACAGAGAAAAGGCCATGTCTAGCAGTTGGGTCTTTGGTGTGTGGGGTCCCATCTGAAGTTTTTTTTTATTAAACAGATGGAAGAGACCCATATCCCCCTGAGAGATAGATGGGGATCTGAGGACAGGATCATCAAAGACATCTCTTTCTTCTTTGGGACCACTCTAAATACCATGGTTTCTGGGCTTTTCCTGAGATAAAGTATTTCAAAGGCATTTCACTTTACCTTCTGTCTTTTAAGCAGAAACAGTTTAACTGAAAACTACTCTTGTAATTTAAACTGTCATCCTGTACCCACCTGTCATCATATTGAACACAGAACTGTAGATAATGGTTCCTTTTTTCTGTTTGTCAAAGAAATGTCCTAGTAGAATCTGCAAGGCATGCTTCATATAGTTTCCCATGGCTCATCTTGGGGCTTAAAGAGACAACTAGGCCTCCTTAGTTAGAGAAATAATTAAGCCTCAACTAGGATACCTTCAGACAGTGTCCCATGCAGATGGAGGAGGCCTGAGGAAAAAGCACGCCTTGTGAGACTCAAGTATTCGGTAGGCAGACGTCTCTGTCTAAAGCTAGGATGACACAGTGGGTCCCAATCTGCTCGGGGCTGTGGTACCAAGCGAGAAGAAAGACTCAGGCAGAATTAAAGAGAGAAATGGGGAGCCAGTGCTGAGCAAGCAGCAAAGACCCTGGCCAGCCAAGGCTTCTGAACTATGATATAATTCAGTTGGGGTAAAGGGGCTATGTGAAGGGGCTACAAGTAGTTACTAGGGATACATTGCTGATGTAGATAAAACTTGTAAAGGAAGAGACACACTTAGTCTTGTGTTAGGGACAGAACAGGCAAAATACAGGTTGTGATGAACAAAAAACCTTTTTAGTAAAGAAGATTTTAATTTTGGGAACAGAATTTGGGTGTGAGTCACTCTGACCTTTCTGTGTGTTATCCCCTGTTAAGCCCCGTAGCTTCACAGACCATCTCCCTGGTCTCTGCCATGGACTTTGGCAGGGGGCTGATACTGGCCCACGCACCAATCCACAATGTTCCTATGAGTCACATAGGCTTCAGTCAGACTCATTTCTTAAAACAAGCCTATTGTGAGTAACTCTTTATAGCCTGCTCTGTTTGCAGCCTGCTTTGGGCATGATTAATGGGTTGGTCCCCCACAGGGAGATAAACCTAAGCAGACCTGTAAGCCTCTTAGCAACTGAGAGAAAAAAGAAAAGCCACAGAGGCCACGTGTGCTCTCCCCACCCCATATGCTGGGAAACAGAACATAATTTTTGGTGCCATGAGAAGTTTCTGGGTTCCCCAGACTAGGATAGAGAGAAAAGAACCAAAAAAATAAAAATTAAAAAATAAAAAAATAAATGTGCCCAGGGGCCTTACCTGCTCCTTGGCTGGCTGAGCCAAATATGTTGCCAGGTATTGGGGCACTGCAGTCTCCTAGAGGTGATTTCTAGGTTCTTTCTGGCCTGAGCAAAGAATTGGTCAAGACAAGCACAAATGTTAGCAAAGTTTTAGTAAAGGTAGGAAAATAAGTATACCCTATGGCAAGAGGACAGGCCCCCGTGGAACAGCAAGACAGTGGCCCATCTGTTTAATTAGTCTTTGTTGGTGTCTAGTGTGTATTGTATTTTGCAGCTTTTTTTGCCTGCACTTTTTACTGCTTTATCATAGTGTCTCTCACATAGTATGTTCCAAGTGTATATTTATTGTGAACAAGTAGCATTACCTCTAATGGATGTTTCTGTGCGAGTCTGGTTAGCACTGCGTTTCATTTCCAGTCAGGTGTGTCGCTTCCCTCAGGGCTTTCATTCTTCTCCCCCCATGTACTCCATAGTAGGAACTTGGGGTGTTTTGATAAATCCTTAACACTTTTCACAAGTGTGTATTGTATTGAATCTGGGTTTACAGGTGATTTTTTTTTTCTCTAGTGTCATCTTACTGTAATAATGTGTGCATTTATACCTACCCCTGTTCTAATCCTCTTTGTTTCCTAGGTCATGGGCACAGCCATTCCCTCTTCAATGGTGCTCTCGATCCTGCACATGGCCACGGAGATCTCTGCCATAGCCATGAAGTGAAACACGGTGCTGCTGCCCACAGCCACGATCACGCTCACGGACATGGCCACTTTCATTCTCACGGTGAGTATGGCTGAACGCACTTTCAGACAAAAGTTGTGTAGATGACTTCTCTTCCTTGAAAGCTACTAAAAGGGTACTGCATTTAACTTTCTAGTGAATCATTGGGTCCTAGGATTATGAAAGTGACCCGATATAAGGCAGTAGATACAGCTTTTTCTTTAATGACTGTAGTATAATAAAATGCCGCTATTTTAGCTAAAGGTCAGTGAATCGGGAATACGTGTGATTTAACAAATGAAAATCTTGATTTTTTTTTTTAAGCATGATGAGGCCTTTTGTGTTATGTAGTCTTAAAAATACTACTAGGGAATTTTAATTTTCCAGATTTTTTATTGTAATTTTTTTATGTTTAACACATGATAGTTACCTCTATGTTAGAAGTCTCTAGATGCTAACTTGTGTAGCTTTAGATACTAAGTTATAAGGTACTTATCAATTTCATATTTAATTGACAACAACTTTTTTTTTTTTTTTTGGTACTGGGGATCGAACTCAGGACCTTGTGCTTGTGAGGCAGGTGGTAGAACCACTGAGTTAAATCCCTGGCCCTCAATTTGATATTTAAAATTATATTTTAAGTAGTTTATACATGAATACCAGAGGCTAGATTAATAGAAACAATTTAAGTGTCACGAATTGATTAATCTTTAAAGAGATTATGTGTTTTAGTATTGTCTGTATTTGCCATAAATCTACCCTCTTGGCAAGTTTTTAAGTATGCAGTACAGAATTAACAGTAAATACTGCCATGCTACACACACTGCTAGGTCTCATCTAGAGAGGTAAATTGGATATAAGTGAAACTTCATATCCTTTGAGGAATAATTTTCTTCTCTACCACCCTCTGGCCCCCTGGCCACCACCATCTTACTCTCTGTTTTGGTCAGTTTGACTTTAAATTCCTCATTGATGTGGTATTATGTAGTATTTGTCATTCTGCACCTACTTAGTCATCTCACATAATGTCCTCCAGGCTTATCCTTATTGTCCCAAATGGCAAACTATTACAATAATTCAGCCTTCTTTTTTAAGGCAGAACGATATTCCACTGAATATTTCATTCATCAGTCAGGTTCTTCCCTGTCTTAACAATGATAAATAATTGTGAGTGAACAATTACTGATTTTAATTCCTTTATTATTTTTTGTGTGTGTGTGTGTGGTACCAGGGATCCAACTTGGGACCTTGGGCTTGCGAAGCAGGCTGTGGAACCACTGAGCTAAATCCCAGTCCTGTATTCCTTATTGATTACCTGGAGAACTTTTTTTGCTCTTAAAATTCTGAATAACTTTTATTTAATGGAGTTAGTGATTGCAAAATGTGCAATGTAGCATAATCATGTGACTCTAGAATTGGCCTAAGAGTTTCAATTAATTGTTTATGGGGTTAACTATAGAAAACCATCAGATTATAGTCTTTCTCTCTGTCTTTTTTTTTTTTTTTTTTTTGAGACAGGGTTTTACTATATAGTTGAGACTGATCTGTAGCCCAGGCTGGTCTGAAACTCACAGCGATCCTCCTGCCTCAGCCTCCCGAGTGCTGGGATTATAAGCGTGCACCACCATGCCCGGCTCTGTAGTCTTTCTATTTTAATGAACTGTCCCTTAAACTAAAGGATTGTATATTACTGACCTTTTTATTAACTAGATTCTAGCACAGTTCCTAGCATAGAGGAACAACTCAGTCTTACCATGTTCATAATGGTATATGTGCCATTTATATATATTTGTTTATAAGTCTTATTAAATTGTTGAATAAAATTTCCCCAGATTTTACTCCTCTTCTATTCCCTATCCTTTATTTTTATTTTACTTTTTTTCAGCTTTAATTGAGTTTATTGGTACATTCTAGGGATACAGTACAGTTACATTCATTGTTGGGATCTTGTACCTCTACATGACAGGTCTTGGTTCTCATTTTTCCCCCTTGTCCCTGCCCTCTCCTCATCCCCTCCTCTCTCCCCATCCCCTCCTCTCTCCCCATCTACAAACACTTTATTTCCTTCTTTTCATTCTCTCACATTTTTTTCTTTTCCCTTATTACCCTTCCCCTACCCATCCCACCTTCCCTACACCTTTAGCTCCTTTCTTCCCATTTCTAAATGTCAGTAATCTTATTAGGATCTTATGTATTATTGCAGTTTATTCACACCAGAGAAGCTATTCGGTATTTACACAGGTGTGACTTATTTATTTCACTTAGGAGTATATCTTCAATATGTATCCATTTTCCTATGTCTATTCCCTATCCTAAAACAAGTAGTACAAGTTGAATATTCTTTATTCAAAATGCTTTGGATGGACCTGAGCTTCAGATTTGACTGTTTAGGTTTTAGTAAGGTATTTTACATACTTGTTTTAGTAGTCTGGGAGCAAATGTTTAAAAACTTTATCTTTTGGAAGTTTAAATATTTATGGTATCCTGATACTGTATTCTAATCATCATCATCATCATCATCATCATAAACAGTACTGATCATTGCTAGCAGTTTTAAATGGTCAGCATGTGCCAGGCATTCTAAATAATTTAAATACATTAACTTTTCAGTTTCCTCACAATCTAATGAAGTAGGTACAGCTATTACACCCATGAACGGAGACACAAAGAAATCATAGTAACTAATGAATTAGAAAGCTAGCCGTTGCATGAATATAATTTGACTTCAAAATCTGTGCTTTTAATGTTTTTCTCCTTTCAGTATTGTATAAGCTAATCAGGGCATTCAAAAGTTAGTAGGCCATGATTTCATTTTTTCCAGAGAGACACTAATCTCACTGGGAAGTATATTGTGAGCTTTGTATTTATTGGAAAGGTAGCTGTTTAAAAAAAGTATGTGGGGGGAGTGGTACTTCTAAAACTTCAGTACTGTAAGCCGTAAAGGTTTTTTAGTTACTCTAATTATGTGTCCTATGGCAATTTGGGGATTTAAGCTCCTTCCATCCATGAAATTCCCCACTGTTGGAATCCTCTCTTGGACTTTCTGCTTGAAGGTAGAAGGAAGATACATTCACAATCAAGTTGAACAGCAGTCTCCAACCTTTTTGGCATCAGGTTTCATGGAAGATAGTATTTCCACAGACCACAGAATAAGGGATTGAAAAAAAAAATTCAGATTTTTAATTTCTTAGTTTCTTTTTTTTACTAGTATATATTTGCGATACATAATCATTACATTCCCCAGCACTTGTGTCACTGCTTCAGCTCCACCTCCAGTCCTTAGACTCTCCCTCCTATCCACTATTAGTCTGACAGGAGGCAGAGCTCCTATAATGTGAGGATTAGCCGAGGCTTCTCTTGCCAGCTGCTCTACAGCCTGCTTCCTCAGAGGCACATGCTGGTCTGTTCTGGTCTGGAACAGTGGGGTCTGTGGCCCTGGGATTGGGGACCCTGATGTTGAATATTCTTATGAGTCTGGAAATAGTTTACATCTCATATTTCTTTGTCTGTAACTCAGCCACAGAGCCTCAAAGAAGCCTAGGAAATAGTTTACATTCATACCCTAGAGGAGAAACAAGTTTGGTAAGCAACTACCCAATCCCTGACACAGTGACAAAATATACATCCGAGAGGACTTTCAGATTTTCACATAGTTGGGAGTTACTTTGCTTTTGTTTGTTTGTGTGCTTGTTTGTTTTCGGTGCCGGGATTGAACTCAGGACCTTGTACTTTCCAAGCAGGTGCAGTGCCCCTGAGCTAAATCACCAGCCAAGAGTTACAGTATCTTATGTAACTCTCATTACAACAAAAGTGCAGTAACTCCCTGATATAAGAACATCTGAGTTGTGAGCTTTCACAGGTGTACTGTATAAGATTCACTTTAACAGATAAGAATGAATCTGATTTACGAATGGAACTCATTTGTAGGTTGGGGACTTGCTGTATACCTTTTAAAATATTTACTGATGGGCTATTAGTGTAGCTCAGTTGGTAGAGTGCTTGCCTAACATTCAAAGTCCTGTCTTTATCTAGACCTAGACAATTTAGTGATCAAGAGCTGGATTTTTCGATTATACTTTTAACTATCAGGATTTTCATGACAGCTACATCTTTTTATAGTAGTAGTTTTTACAGGAGCACATGGTACAGCATAACCTATCTAGACAAAAAATATGTTCAGGATTAAGCTTTCATGTGTGTTGCATTGTTTTTTTTTTTCTTCTTCTTCTTTTTTTTTTGTTACTGGGGATCAAACTGGAGTCCTTGTGCTTGTGAAGCAGGCAGGAGAACCACTGAGCTAAATCCCTGGCCCTGTGTTGCATTGTTTAGAGCACTGTTGCTCTGTTCTGTCAGTGCTGCGGTGGTAAGGGTGTACAGTATTGATCTTTAGTGTATTGGCCAAGAATCAATGACTACAGTTAGACCCTCTGTTAGTCATATCAGAAAGCCTTTCAGTCCTCCTGGTAATTCCTTTAAACTAGGTTTGGTTATATTTTGCCTTTTTCACTTACATTTTCTGCTTTAATGTAAAGCTAATTAGTAATCATCAAAGTACTTAAGTATAGAAATTATAGTATCTTTTCATCATAAGGGCAATTTTTATGAAAGTATTTTTATCTCTTCTGTATAAAAGTCATGCCATGTCCATGTAGAAGCTATTGAATGACTACTATTTACCATAGTCAGGTTATCGTGGATTCTGTCTGGCTTCATTTCTTGAACTTCTTATAACGTCAAGCAATACATTTAGTTTTGTCTGAATTTTCTACTTGTAAAAGTACTAGATTTTTAAGGAATATTAGCATATTTTCACAATGTTTTTAATTTCTTGTGCTTTTTATTTTTTAATACAATAACTTCAGATATACTCTTATAGCCTTGCTTTTTAAGATTGCTTCCACTGAATTTACTTTTACTCAATTACTTTATTAAATTTTAAAAATAATTTTGTAGGTCTGATGTGGCTATATAGTCACACATCCTTCATGAGACATTTGAATGAAAAGGACTCTGAATTGCAAAAATTTGAATCAGGAATTGAAGACATATTTTAAAATAATTTAACTTAATTCTCTACAGATGGTCCCTCCTTAAAAGAAACAACTGGACCCAGCAGACAGATTTTACAAGGTATGATAATTTGCACATTTTTTAATTGTATGAAGCTAGTTGTATAGTTTTCAGTTGTCTGAAGTTTTCTTTTAGGAAAAATTTGTAATGTATTGTTTATGTTTAAAATGTTACCCTTTCTAGTGATTATTTTATATATGTGAGGTATTAGCAGATAGTCTTATCACTTAACAGTTCATATTTAATAAAAAGCACGTTAGCCAGGATCTGTGCTTCAATATAAATAATGACAGTGACATTATAATATGATGACAGTGACATTATAATAGTGTTTGCCTTTGTAGCATTATTATATAGTTTTTCCAAAATTAACATTCAATATGTTCTAGTGTATGATAATTTGAGCTAAAAACATTAATGCAGAGAGTGAAATCTCCATCATATTTGTAGACCTCAATTGATGATATCTACACAAGAGCTTACATGTCACCTAGCATGGTAAATTACACAGTTTTATGAGCCAGGAAATTCAATCTTGTCCGTGAACTCTGGTTCCTTTTTTGGGATGTAAATCAATTTTTGGTGCTGAGTTTCCATTTAGATTTCATTGCCACGGTTTCCTCAACTCAGGTCTGTCTTCTTGCCTCTATTAACTTTGGTCTTCAGTCTGACTTTCTCAATAGCTTCACATCTAGTCTCTACTGCACTGATTTTTCTTCTGATAATCCAACTCTTGCTTTTTATTTTTTCACTGAGAATATGTTACTTCATACTGAGAAGCTCATTATGAGAAGGCTGTGTCTCCCAGCCACTAATTTTCCATTTATAAAATTTTTTTTAGAATTTTTTAAAACAGATTGCTGAAATAGTTTGTATCGTGCATGTTTGATACAATTATAGATACAAAATAACTTTCATTTTTAGTTTTGAAAATTAGAAATGGAAGGAAAGAAAGGTCTACTTCCTAATTGTCTTTTATGCAAGCTATTATGAATATACACCAATTTATAGTGGCTGAAGCAGGCCAGTAGGTAGCCAAAAGACAGAGATAACTTCCCAAGATTAAATCTTTCCTGCAAAATAACTGTGTACAAGATACTCAACAAGAAAAAACTAAGTTAACTGAATTTTTCACGGTTAGCTACACCTTGAGTAGGTCACCCAGCTTTATAAATTTCTAGGGAGTTAGATTATCAGTATCTTACTAGGTCTTCTAAGGTTTCATTTATATAAGCTAACAGTATTGTTTTATGTCCTTCTTTAGTGATTTTTCTTCTTAAATGTTAGTTGCAATAAAGTAGGAAGGGCTTGGATAATGATATTTAGTAATAGGGGAATTTCCATTTTAAAAGAAATCAGGACAAGTGATTCTTTTCTTTCTTTCTTTTTTTTTTTTTTCTGTAATTTAGAGCTATTTTCATTTCTGATTTTACCAAAATACTGATTAAAGAATATAAAGGTTTAAAGACATGTACCACATATAAGAGTTTTTTTTTCCTTGGTACCGGCCTTTGCGCCTAGCTGCATCCCTAGCGCTTTTTAATTTTTGAGACAGGACCTCACTACATTGCCAAGCTGAGCTCCAGTTTATGAGACTCTTGCCTCGGCCTCCTAGAGTGCTGGGATTACCCAGCACTGCAGCTGGCTCATTTGGGTTCATTTTTTTCAGTTTTATCTTTAACAGTTGCAGGTATTCTAACATTTAATCAGTTTTATTCTTTGTTATTTGAAATACCTGAAGGAAATTGAGTACTTTATAACTATTCTCTGGCAGAATTTTTTTGTTATCAAAAAATTTCTCAAAACTATGCATATGCGAATGTATATAGGTAGTAAAAGATGAATTATATGTAGTATACTATTTTATGCAGGTTACAGTAGCAGATAATTATAGTATAATTTCTTAGCACATTTTAAGATTCAACAGGACTTAATCATAGTTGGGTTTTAAATTATTAGAAAAATTTTTTGAGTTTAAATTAAATCTCTTTCCACCCCTGTAAATAACTATAGTTAACTTTTATTTTTTGTTCAGGGAATAATACAAAATTTTTTTCTAAATTGAGTACCTTACTTTTTGCATATTAGCTGTTTCTTTTCATACAGGGTAGTCGATATTGAAGAATTTTATAATTTTAGCAAGTCATAGTTAAAGTTTAAAAGACAATAAATAACTTTTATTATTTTATTCATTAAAGATCTAAATTAAAGATCTTGACATTTTTAATGGTTTTCCAGGCAAATGTCACTTATTAAATGTTAGTATTATATCTGGGTTCTTGGGCAGCTGTAGTATCTGTGTTCTACCAATTTAATATTTAATTATTAAAAATTCACATATTTTATGTTCAATTTAAAATAGTCAAATCCCTTTTTCAGGTTAAGTTTAAGCACATTGTATAACTAATTTGGGTAACAAAACCCTCAGGTTAATTAATGAATGTGTCATGTAAGTAGAATTAGGGTTCATAGAAAATCCTAGTCCCAAATGGTAATGATTTTAATAACCAGTAGAGGGCTCTGTGGGCCCATGTATTTGTCATTACATTTTCTTGTCTAATTCTTTCCTAATACTGTTTCCTTCCCAAAATTATAAAGTTTTGTACTCTTTTTAAGATAGAGATGAATGGTCACAATTTTTAAAATGAATTAATTGCAATGGTTCTAAGATTTTTTATTTTAAATTAATCAGAAGATATTATATTTTTATTATTTTATTTCTAGGTGTATTTTTACACATCCTAGCAGATACACTTGGGAGTATTGGTGTCATTGCCTCTGCCATCATGATGCAAAATTTTGGTTTGATGATAGCAGATCCTATCTGTTCTATCCTTATATCCATACTTATAGTTGTAAGGTAAGTGTTGTTCTGTTACTTTCAAGAATTAAAATGAGTGATGGATGATAAATATGCAATTTAAATTAGAGATCTTAAGTACAAATTATTATGTTGGTTTTCCTTTGATCTTTAAGAAACTCAAGCATCATAAATCTGCTTTTATATTCATTTATTCTTTTGTGTGTGTATATGTATGTGTTTTTCATTTATTTCTTGCCCGAGTTTGACATTTTGTTTCGGCAGTTAAGCTTTTGATCATAATTCAAGTCGATGATCATTTTCTTAAATCTAACACTATATCTGTGGAGTGTAATATGTGAAATGTAAACTATCTAGTGTTAGAATATTATATCTAGATACTTGTAGATGTTTGTATCTTATACTGTCACATGCAAAAGAATCTCAGAATTTCCTCTAGTAAAACTATTTTTAACTATAAAATCACATTATCATTGCAGAGGTCTTGTAAAAATACATACTGAAGTAAATTTATGTCTAACTCCCCATCAAGATTATAAATTCTTGAGGAAGCACCTGTGTCTTAGCGCTTAATCTTTTCTATTGCCTACCACAGTGCTAGTGTATGTGTGAAGGTAACTGTGTGTGTAGGTGTACAAAGTCTCAGTAAGTGTTTGCTGGGTCAAGTTGTGTACTTATCATCTCCTATGCTTCTCTTGCCCACTGAGCTACATTGCCAGCCTTTTAAATTATTATGTTTATTTTTATACAGGATCTCACTAAGTTGTTCGAAGTGGGCCCGAATTTACAGTCCTACTTTAGCATTACAGACTCTTGGGATTAGGTGTGCAGCACCACATCTGACTTACTAACAGTTTTTATCACAATGGGAATATATTCTCAGGGTGTTTTATTTTTCCATATGATTTTGTTCTCAGTAGAACTTTTTTGCAATGAAAAAGAGACCTGTTTGAAGTCAATCTGATTTACTCGTAGCTGAGTAACTTGTTAATAGATGGTGATGAAATAATATTAAAATTGGTCATAAATGGAGATTTTTTAAAGTTTCTGCTAAAATAGGATATGCATTTTAAACATGGAGATTAGTTTATAATTTCTTTGAATTATTTGTACAAGGAAGCAACTCCACTGTATAAAAGTCTTTCTAAAGCTTAGAATGTCTTTCTTCATCTTTGGAAATCTTAAATCTTAGTACATTTCCGGTACTAAGCTTACTTCCAGTAAGTTCAGCTTACTTGTAATTTATACTATAAAACCTAACTCTTGATGCATTTGATATTAATTCAATCTGTATCCTTATGGGTACTTTCATCTCATTTTATTATTTGTTATAATGCTTAGTTCCTTCTAATACTTCTTAGAGTAGAATCTTTCTGCTCCTTTTGTCTACACTCTTACCGTAACTCTGGCTAGTGGTGTGTTTTGCTTGGGAAACTATGACTGTCTCCAGGTTGACCTGTCTTTCTCTAAACTTCACACTGGCTAAAATTACTTTTATTTCATGAGGATTACTTGGTATATAAAAATTATCTTGCTTTAAACCCATCTGTGATTCTTATCCTTCAGATTAAAGCCTTAACTGACCTTCACGATGTCCCTGTTACCTCTCTTTAGCCCCCCCCC